TCTCTCTCTCTCTCTCACACACACACACACATACACACTCTCTCTTCTCTTGATCTTTCTCTCTCTCATTTTTCTCTTTCTCGTCTTTCCTATTCTCCCACTCTCCCACATTCTATCTTTTTCAGTAGTGGGGAGTGGGCGAGATGGGGAGGACGGTAGGAATCAACAGGCTACATTATGGGCCATGAGGCGTTCGAACTCACACGGTGAGATGCACTTGTATGATAAATGCCCTTTTCTTTCTTTCATCTGAAATTTCTTGTAGTCTGTCTGAAGCATGGGTGGTTGGCGGGTGCTCTGGTGTGGTTTGCTCCTTCCTTCCTATAAAAAAAAAATCTATCGCCTCTATCTCCCCTGATTCTTTTTTGTGTTTGTTACTCTCTTGTAACACCTCTAATCTTCGTCACTTATATGACCTTATCGTGTTGCAAGTGCCGTACAACTCCTACTAAAACTAAAACTAAACATCATCTGTTCTCATGCATCTGAAGTCTTCTCTCTTTTTCTGCCCTAATACACCTGCCGTCTCTTTCTCTTCTTTTTTTCTCTCGTTTATTTACCCATATAAATCTATATAATAGTCTCCTTCTGTCTCCCCTCCTTACAAGTGCACACATGTAACTGTCTTCCCTTCTCTCTGTCATCTTCTTTCACTGTGTCCCCCTCTTCCCGGGGTCATTCGTTCGATTGTGCAGTAAAACACCTACTCAATCAATCAATCAATTCCCGGGGTCAAGTTTTCATTAAAGCGTTTCGTCTACCGATATTTCAGCCGAACTGCAGGAAACACGGAGCTTTTATGTTGCGTGTTAAGCTTGATTTCGAATATTATAATTATAAGACATTGTTTCTTTCCTTCGTTTTCTCACACAGTTTTATCCCTGAAAGTGTCCGGTGGCTCACCGTTCACGGCAAGGTCAAGGATGCTTATAAAGTACTGGTCAAGGTCGCAAAGGTCAACGGTCGTGAGCTTCCCGATTTTACAGAGTCTGTGCTGGTGGTAAGTACCCCATGAATTGATGGCAACATTTTCCGATTTGACTCGGTTTCACATCTGGTTTTAAGCCTTAAGTTAAACGTTTGCCTGTTAAACGACTGCGCCAGGGCGGCCGAAAGTTTACGTCAGAGAAAGATTTAGTACTTTTAAAGTGAAAACAGCTGGCTGCTAAGTTGTTGAGATGTATCTTCTAGAGAACGTGCACAACAGAAGCCACTAATTCCCACAAAATCACAATAGCTAGAGATATTCACAATTTGCAGATATTATGACAATATCTAGACAGAAAATCAGCTCATATTTCGCAAATGTTATCATGATCATATCTAGATTGAATAACAACACTCATATTTCGCAAGTATCATGACAACTGCTGGTGTGAAAAGCGACACTTGTAAATGGCACGTATAACAAAAGCTAGCCTGAAAAGGGAGACAAGTGTGACGCAAGGGAGCCTATCAACTACACTCTGTTTCTGAGAGTGTGTATTGGGGGGAAGTGCACAGGTATAAATAAACTAGCTGGGCCCCCTTTCGATGAAAGGAATGATCGGTGCATTAACATCAACTAAAAGTGGTTGGCCTACTGCATTAATTTACACTCTACTGGAATGGAGCAATAAAAATGCGATGATGGGCATCAAATGAAAGGATCACTGTCGAATTTAGCACCAAGTAAAAAAACAAAACAAAACATGAGGCTAGATCTATACAGGTGGCACACTTAAAATAGTGCTCAGTATTGCGCGACAATGCGTGATAGTACCGAGCGGAAGTACGACTTGAAATAAACAAACCTGGCAGATTTTCTAAAATTACAGAGACAAAAGCGTCGGCCTACAAAAGCGATCGGTGGAATAAAGAAATTTAGCTTTTTGCAGCAAAACTGTCTCAAAACTGAAAAAACGAAGGGCGTCATGATCTGGAGAATATTTTAAAGAATCTTTTGGCGAAAATAGCATGTCGATCGATGCAGCCATTAAAAAGCATTTTGAATAGCAAAATTCGGCCACCACAAATAGATAATAGATAGGTAAATATGAGAATAAAATTCCATAATTCCATTGATCAGGAGTAAATTGATTCAGTTTTTATCGATCCAAGGGGGGGGGGGGGAAACTTGGTTTGCAGTGCCATACATAATTACGTACATGGAATAAGTTATCAACGCAAAGAGGTTATTTATAATAATACTAGAGCTCGCAGCAGTGACGTCGCAGGAGCCAGACATGAGGGCCTTTTACCCTCATCGGCATGGCCGACGTGACCCCCTTTTAAATGAACAATCTGAGTCTCCACTCCGCTCCCCACGAGCTCTAGAATATTAAACATCACCCAGCCCGCATAATATTTCAGTGCAGGCTTGTACATTTCCTCCTTAGACCGCCGAGACGCCTCTAGGTGAGTGTCGAAAAGTACTCACCCGTCTGTTGAACTGCGCATGTCTTGCCTTTGAGGTTCAGCGTCCCAGAGTGGGTACACGCC